AGTATTATTATTAATAATTAGATTTGAATCCTACCTATCCACCCAATAAAAATTATGCTTAAGGAACTAAATAAAAAGAAAAGTATCAGATAAAACTATTTAACACAACATTCAAAACAAACATAGTAACCGCACACCTAATCTTTAAACAATAATTGACTAACACCATTATTAATCAATCCACAAAACTAAGGTGAAAAGGTGTTTCTTACCCACTTTCTGAATACAAAGAGACGAGTTGTAATTCTAGAAGGAGCGTGTTCAAAAACTGGTGAGGCCTAATCATCTCTTTGCTGCAGGCTGAACAAGGAAGCCTCTGCAAATGGGTGCCTTTAAAGGGGTTTTCCTGCAGGTTTGTAACAGGGCAAGGGGCATTCTCTCCGATAGCCTGGCTCAAATAGTCTATCCCTTTAAAGCTTAAAAAGTCTGAAATGAGCCAAGAAAACCTTTAGCAACCAGTGCAGATCTTTTGATATAAGCCTGCTGTGATTATGATACTGTGCACAGCTTTGCAGCCTAATGGTCAGTTTGCACCAAAAGAAGCTTCTAGATGCTCTTACACATAATACATTGTAATTATGTAATCATGTTCTTACTGAGGCACAGATAACCACTGCAAGGACCAAAAGATTCAGGAAAGGATGTTGCTGGTACACAGACTGTAACTGTGACAACGTACTTCTTGCCACTTCTACCACCTGAACATCCAGGCACAGTGCCTGATCAAGGAGCACTTCCAACACATGGGCTTGGTCTTTTGGGGAATGTCAGTCCTTTTCAGAACAAATAACCCCACTTTTGAAGTCTGATTTTCTGCTGACAAATAATACCTCGCAACTAAAGTATTTGATCTTCTTTCCTTTAGAATATTTTATATGTTGATTAAGCAGCTGCTAAGCACAACCTGATTCTATATTGTGGTATGACTTGGCTGGTAAGACATTTTCACAAATTTTTGATGCCTGGCTGAAAACATATCCTACATTTCATGTTCTATTAGAATTACCTCACAGGGATGATGTTGTAGGAGTTAATAAGAGGAAGGAGCAATATTTTTGCTCCTGAGTGAAAGGTGGGATATAAACTAATAAATAAATATTACTAGAATATCTTCCTCTCCATATTTAGTAAACACTAAATGGAACCATTCTCTTTCCTATACAGTACAGATTAGGCTCTTTACAACTAATATGCTGGTTTATGTACTAACAAATCTACGTGCCGTTTTCTCTGTAAAATTACTTTTCATTTGTAAAAAGCAACAAAGTACAGTGGTACCTCGGGATACGAACTTAATCCGTTCCGTGACTCTGGGCGTATCCAGAGTT